CTGGCTCCGTGGGAACTGCTGCCGCTACCGCCGGGTAGAAAAAAAGCCTGCTCGAGTGAAAACTTCTCAAATGTTTTGCTTGGCTGTTAATTTTATTTTATTTCCTACATTTCCATGAGGAAATTAGCTGAGCCAGACAGACCAGTGTTTGGATTGATTTGTCCTAGCTTTTAGTTTTTCTTTCATGAAAAGTTCAGACATTTAACGTTTTGGGGGTTTATATAAGTGGCAGTTTCTAGTTCCCTTTTCCCACACTCCAACAGAACTCTGCAGTACTGCACCTTTTACATTCATTCCATCTGCTAGTTTATAAATGCTCGGATAAAATATTATGCAGCAGACAAAGGAAAATTGTCATAAAGTTCGTGATTTACCTATATAATATATTGAAACAGGTAACATCTGCTAATAAACAGCATAATCTTCCAGAAGAACTACCGTGTAATTTAATTCTTACTCTCTTCATTTAAGAAAGATAATTCAGGTCATTTTACAGTAAAATATCAACTAAATCAATGACTGAAGCTTAAATGATACATTAATGTTTTTAGTTCTTCATTAAATCCCTACTTATGAAAAAAGTCAGCTGGAAACAGTAATGCTCAGAAGTGAATGGAATGAAAAATGTTGCTTGTATGCAATAACTAATCATTCTAGCAGTGAAAAGACAGCACGTTAGCTTCCCAGCTAACAGGGAAACCCAGGCAATAGCAGAAAAGCGCAGAGGGTATTAATATTTCCCTTCAAAAACTGACAACAAGTTTAAAATAATTTGTCACTTTAATTCCACTGACTATAAATTAGGAACTGGCAACCTCTTTGTTTGCACGCAGTCATGAGAGTCCCAGCTCGGTTCAAATTTTCACAAATACACACAGATTTGAAATGCCGGAATACATAAACACAATAACAGACTTGTACTCTTGCAAGAAGCTGCCTTCCTCCATGTAAGAAATGCCATCACGCGCTGCTGTACTTCAACAGCTTCATTCTGCTTCCATTTATCACCTCTGAATTCTCAGCCCCACTATTGCTGCCTGGCTCCATGAACGGCTGCAGACTTCCAGCCCAACCGTATCCTTCAGAGAAACATCCAATTGCTATGTTCAGAGGAATGGCCTCCCACAGGATTCAAGATTCACCCCTGTCTACCCATATGATATCCCAGAAAACTAATCTCCAGGATGACAGCTCATTCAGAGCTCTGGAAAATTTACCCACGCTGAGCTCCTCTTTAAATAATGACCTGACATTTGTTCTGTAGAGGGAGACAAAGCCCAGACTGATGAAAACAGTTGGCAGCTGCTTTCATTTGTGCCATTCAGAAGCCAGATGATAATTTGTCCTCGGGGACCCATCACTTCTTGGCAGACAGACCTGTCCAGTGCACTTTGCTATTACTTTTGCTGTTACCTCCCACCCCTGGTGCATGCTGCCCAAGCACAGAGTCAATATTCAAGGCAGACTAAACTAAAACCGACTGCCAAGAGTCATAAAGGATTTCATGACTGAGAACTCGGAGATAAGATCACAGAAGAATTTGGTGAGGGTAATACAAAGCGGCAGATATTGGGAAAGACAAATTTGTTCGACCTACATAAAAGGTTAAATTATCTATTGCTTAGAAAAGAGATTCCAGCATCTCGGAGCACAGCTTAATGATGACATTAGCGAACCAATAAGCAATGGTCAAAAAGGCAGAGCATTACAAATTACTAGGCAAGCAGACCAAACCAGAAAACATTATTCAAGATGAACTGTGAGTTCACCTTTTGCATAAAGAGCACAGCTCTCATTCCTTTACATTATTAGGAGCAGAATTACAAAGTGTACAGACAACGGTGATCAGGATAATCTGCATTTTCCATACAGGTAAAGATGAAATAAATGAAGACTTTCCAGCCTGGAAAAAGAGGCTACTGGGGGGGGTGATAATAATAATAATAATGGTACATAAAATCATAGATGGGACCAAGGAAGAAAACAGATGCAATTATTCATTATTTCTCACAGTATGAAACTATGAGACATAAAATGAAGCATTCACGTCGCAGGTTACATGAAATAATCACATAACAAAGAAAGTATTTTTTCACACAGTGCCTAATTAAACTGTGTAGCATTCACTGCCAAAGGATGTTGTGGAGAGTAGCAATTTCAAATGGCTCAAAGAGATGTTTATCTTGGACAACAAAGTTACAAAATGCTTTCCCTGTACTTGGAAATCCTACATAAACAGATAGGGCTGTCACATGCTTCCTGAAGAAGAGTAGTAGCAACAACAATGAAAGAGAGAAAGCTATATGCATTTGTTATCCATGCATGTAGTCTCCCTCCACATCTTATATCCCGATAGACAAGGCCTGTGCTCAGAATTGTGAGGGGATGATATATGTGTATTTTTTCATATTATGCTTCTTATTCTATCTGTTCCTGGCAGTTTTTATTTTTAAGGATCCCCCAAATTGTTGCTCATATGTTGGTTGCTTTCTGTTCTGCCTGGCAACAGAGGCAGCCGTAACTGCACTCTAGAGACGTACACGCAGAGAGGGGGGGGAAGACAAGCTGAAGCAGGTTTTCCTCTTTAAGGATAAAAAAGCAAAAGCCCCTACACACTGCAGACATTCCGGCAATTATCTCCCAAGTGCATTACCTGCTCTTCCACCTAAGCTACCGTTGAACATGCCTAATTATCATCGACATCAGCAAGGGCAGGCAGCAGTACAAGCAGCCATGCTGTTGTCTCACTTCTCCATTTAAAACGCGTGCTCTATTACATGATCTCTCCTGCTGTCTCCGGATCCTCTCCAGCCACTTCCAGTTGGGGTGATTGGTGAGGGAAGGGGAGCGGTGGTTCAGGCTGGGCAGTTACCACATGGTACCGATGCCAGGGGTGCTGTACATGAAGCAGTGCCGAGCCCTCAAACACATCCACTTCCCTGGCTGTAGCACGTGCTGCAGAAATACAAGGCTGGTTTATGGCTGAATCAAATCTCGTTTCAGTCACGCTCCTGTTGCTGTCCTTTGAAGCTGTTTTAGTTTAGGATGCCTGCACAGGTCTTCCTTCTTTCACATAAACAACCAGTGCTGAGTTTTGCTGAAGAAATGGAAGGAAGATGAAATTCACCCGTCAGCCAGTAGTCAGACGTCCTCCCTTTGCTGCCTGCGCCCGCACAAATGAGACCCAAGGGGCAGAAGACCACAAGATCGATGTGGAAGTTGCTGCGGTCTCCAGCTTCCTTCCCTACAGGGCTGTGGTGACCCAGGCAGGGTCGCAGGGCAGGCGTGGCAAGGGGGCAGCAAGGGCTGCCCTGGAGCTCAGAGGCTGCCCTGGAGCTCAGAGGTGCCCCCAGGTGCTGTGAAGCCCCTCTGTCCGAGCTCAGCAGCTCTGCTGGCATGGTGCAGGCAGCTGCTGCTGTGAGGCCGCAAATCTGGTTCCCACACATGAAAGTGAAAAAAGGGAGAAACTAGTTCTCGCTTTTCGCAATACCCGTGGCCACAGATAAGCAGGTACCAAGCCAGAACTGGTGTGCAGCGAAGCATGGCAGAGTTTCCTTTTCCTTCACCAGGCAGGGAGGGCGCAGAGCACCTGGTTCAGCTCCTGCTTTCCTTATAAGGCTACGGGGCTCAGGCTACCTTGCAGTCTTGCTTTCTAGCCCCATATGACTCCCTTCCCTTGCCGGCTATAGACTTGGAATGATCACTAGCCCACATTGATCAGTGAGCAAGACCGTCCCCACATAAGGTATCCCACACATTGCTTAGACATTACAGAACATCAAGAAGCTCACCAAGAACATATTAGTACAGAAATAACAAGGCTGATATGTATTTGCCTTTCCATTGCATTTAGTATATTTATATCTAATACATTTATATTCCCTCATTCCCCTCTCCTTTGATATGATGAAATATTTGCCTTGAATGTAGCCACCACCTCAGCTGAAGAGCAGCAGAGAGACATGATCGTGTTTGCCCATTTGGTCTGGCCCTCTCCGTTCCTCTGCAGTGTCACAGCTCAAAGGCTGGGACAGTCCAGTCCCACACAAGCGCCCCTTGTGCCGGGAGATCCCTGAGCCCAGTTCAGGCACCTCCCCAGCTAGCTGCGTGTGTTCCCCATTCAAGTCCCAAAGGCAACATCGGAACCACAAAAGCCCAACTGAAAATAAAGAGGAAGAGGGGATGTGCAGTATCTTTATCTGGTCTTTTCACAAAAATGTCATTTCAGTTCACTTTTTTCCCCAAATACAGAGGCTGGCAGGAAGAAGATGGAACTGAAAATTAGAAGTGTGAAAGAAGTGTGGTTTGGTAGTGTCCACTATTCGCCCCAGCACAGCCAGGAAGGAAATAGTTTGAAGACACCAGATGCTCTTTGCAACTTGTATTTCCAGCAGGGATTTCTGCCCTCCCCAAGAAAACAGACACACATTCTCATTTAACAACTAATTGATTTATTTAACAATACAAATTTCCTTCTACTGCATGGTTTAGCAGAGAGAACTTGAGAAACAAAATTAGCTTCTTTTCTCTTTTTAAAGTTTAAATGTTTACACAAAAACAACCTTTACTTCAGTAAATATAAAATTTACACACAAAAAAACCTACATTAAAAAAGAACAGAATCATGACAAACCAACAAAAAAAAGGAAAAAAAAAAAGGATGGGAATTCAGTGTAAAGGATCCAATTGCAAGGAAGGCAAGATGGGGCAACACTAACAAGGCATCCCACTTGTACACCTAGGTATTTGAAGTCGCAGGTACAATACAAAACTAAAATACATTAAAATTAGGATTAAAACCTGTATTTTTATACCATAATATTTTATGATATAAGCATCTGTAAATTCTGTAGGCAACACAGTTAATGTGTGAAATACGTAAGATTGCTCTTCACTGGGAAGTCACTGGCGTGGTGTACGAGCACCGCGTCACCCATGAGCACGCTCATGGTCAGCAGTGAGCAGACTTGAGGCGTCCGGCCCGGATGCGACAGCCCCTCGTTTCTTTGCCAATCTGTGCTGCTTCTCACACGCCCAATGACGTAATGAGAAACTCTGGTCACCTTCAGCAGTGATTTCCAGCACTTCATCTCCTGGCATCATCTGTTACCTGACTCAGGCATATTCACCTGCCAGATCCCCCGTTTCTCATTCCCTTTTGCACTTTATAACCTGAACTCTATAAAGTTATCTTGTAGCTACCGAAAGAGACTGGCTTCTAGGTTGAAATATTTGGGATACACAGTTCTTCAAGCCACCTTCAGGAATCTGTATAAATATTTAAAGTAGGGTGGGCAATTCATGGTCAAAGGTCATGTGATACAAAAACCAGGGACCTACATAGTGATGGCTAACCTTAGATCTAAATCTTTAACATGTGGACCTATATAGTGATGGCTAACCTTAGATCTAAATCTTTAACATGTTTTCTATTGCTTTAATATTTAAACTTAACATTCAGTTTTCATATATTAAATGAGCAGAGCATCTTACTGATGGAAGTGCTACATTATCTTCAAAAAGACCAGGCAGTAAGGGAGACTGTAAAGTTTAAAACTAGCTGTAATTTTAAAAATAATTTTAAGGGGTCGAGTTTCTTTTTTCATAATCAATATTGTGACTGGCAACCTATAAAATCTTAAATTAGAAAACTATTAGTGACTCTACTTTTTAAACTGTATGTACTATAAAGCTGTATATCTTTGTTACTTACAGATGTTACAAAATTTCCAAGCCAGAAAGTGAGGGTGGGGAAACATAGTCTAAACATAGTCTAAAAGTTTTACAGATGTCATTTTTGCTATCAAAGTTTCATTCCCCCCCCCCCCAATTACTTTTACGTCATAAAAATCTGATTAAATTTATTCTACAACTTTCTTTTCTGGACAGATGATCTAGTGTTCAATCATGCTTTGGAAGACCATTTTGAACGGGTAACTGTAGTTCTCTAAAGCAGCACGTCCGACTTGCTTTGCTCGGAAAAAAAGCACCAGACTATCTCCAAGCTGGCCCTCATCCTGCAAAAAACAAATCTGTAGCAAGACTCGGGCAGCCTGTTCTGAGAGCGGGACTGGTCCTGAAGCAACCAGCTACATTAACTTCTGAAGTAAACATCTCCAATGCTCTCCTCCCAACTTGAGAAAGAGTTGAACAGTGTTAAATTTAAGGAAATTGTAGAAATGATATTTGTTCTCTTAAAAACAAAACAGGGAAAACTTAAAACAATCCACAGGTGTGCATTAAACATTTAATAGCAAGCCTTTGCTTATGTATATTAATTTAAAGATTATCCACAGGGATCTGTGATACATTGGCCCTGCCTTGTTACTATAATTAAATTTATTCAAATATTAATTTAAATTAGGAAAACAAAGAAACTACTCCTTGGGGAACATGTTTATTGTGTTTGAGATGATACACTGGGTGCTCTCTGAGCTACAAAGGGAAAAAGGAAATCCTTTCATTACAAACTGACAAAGGTAAAAGTTAAAACAGTTTTCACAACAGCATGTACCACATATTGGAAATAGATCTGGGTTTAATACAAATGACATAATTCCTAGTAATCTACAGCTACCTTTAATAACTTCATACAGATAATGAATTAGGCTAAAATGCACTATAATATTTGGTTGACTTCAGGAACAGTATCCTTAGTACATCACAAAATACATTTTGATATCCCAAAGAAGCAAGACTTGCAAGTAGGCATTTTAAACATAACTAATCTACAGCTACAAATTTCTACTCTTGATAGCATTTACCTTTTTGGGGGGCAGTATCCCAGTCTTCAAAAGGATAAAAGCAGAGTAGAATCAGTATAACATATACACAGAAGTCCGTATTGTAAAGGCTATAAAGATTTGTTGCACACTGCAAAGTTGCCTTCCGCACCTTCACACTGCACAAGTAGTTTGTAATTTATGTTGCATATCTCTTGGTCCACTGTCTGGCTATCCTGTCATGTTCTGCTCTGTTGGTCAAGTACTGAGTGGCTATACTTCCAACCAGAGGGTCAGCTGCAAAAGGTAGGAGAAGGTGCATTAGAAACTATTCCACAGTTTAAAAAAACACCAAAGGCAGTGGCTGTTGCTGAGAAACTGCACTGCTTACAGTGGAGTTCCTCCCCTCCCAACAAGAAAAAGGAACTGTCTTTCAAAAAGGGTAAAATCTCTCTGAATACACGCAAGATGAAACGCTTCAATTGTGGTTTTAAGAGAAGGGACTTCCTGTGGCCTATTCTGACCTGCAGGATTTATGAGTTTATAACTCAAGCGAGCTTTGTTGCTTTCTTGGATTGACTACTCACTTGATGGAGCTTCTGCAAAACAGACCTTCAACAACATGAGTTTATTTTCTCCACCATACCTGGGAAAAAACAGGGCTTTATGCTATTTACTTCCTGTTGTGCCACATGACTGAGAATTGCCCTAAATGTGGGACTACATACAAGTAGGAGTGTTTTACTCCCGGTTTTAAAAAGATGAATTTTTATTTAATCTGCATACAATCAAATATACAAATTACATTCCACGGCAACTAAGTCAAACCACTAAGCATGGACGCTCAGTAAACTATCAGCTCCTTACCTGGGTTGCAGTCTGTCAGCAGAGAACAAATAGACAGCAGAACCTTTGAAATGGTCAAAGCAGGGCTCCAGTTGTCTTTGAGGATATCCAGACAGATGACTCCCTGACTGTTGATGTTGCAGTGATAAATTCTGGTACGGAAAGTAACCTAGAATCACAGCACAAGAAAGGGAGACAGAGTCACTCAGTGTTGCCCAGGGATGCTGCCCCTTGTCTCTGAAGTGCAGCAGCAGCAGAGCTGCAATTTTACAGAGGAGTGTGTATTTACTGTGGTCATGGCTACCTTTAAGAAACCTACTACCGAGATCTTTGGCACATAAATTGCTTTCACACAGGCATTCTTCCTGGAATCCACAAAAATCAGGACCTACTTTGTAGCACTGTACACTATTGAATGAACATACTGCATGACAATTTGATCACAAATAAAACTTTACTATGGTTTCTGAAGGTGAAGAAGTAGACAGAATTTGGCTGCATATGCAGTATTAGCTCATCTTTTCCTTTGTTTAAACAGCGTAAGTACAGACCATGAAAATCAATTAAAACTGGAGTATTGCCTTATTCTTGTTCAAATTAACAACGAAATCTTTGCCTTACCCTTCATTAGGCAGGACGTAATATGCAGCCACAACAATGCCATCGCCCTCATACCATCCTTGTTTTTAAATTATTTCAGACTAATATCAGTACAGCATTATTCTGCACAAGTAAGAAGTTAGAAATATTTAAGTGCTTTAATTACATAATGGACTAGAAGAAGAGGATATTTTTGTTCTTTACAATGATGCAGGGAGGAAAAACCCATGATGTTTTCTGTACCTACCAAAAATTAAAAAATGATCATGCTCTAAAAAGAAATCTACACGATTTTCATGAGGAATTCATCCAAAATGTCACATCATTTCATTATAGCAATCATAACTCAATAGCATACTAAATTCTGTGAGTTACAGAAAAGTGTGAAATACATACAGAGTATATAATTCTTTATGCTGTAATCCTTCTGGGAATGAAAAAAAGGTATTTGATTTATAATAACAATGTTACAGCCATAAGAGCCCTAAGTTATAGAAATGTTGTGTGGTAGAATGCATTTAGTCCTAGCGAATGTGATTCTGTGATTCTGTGAATGTCAGCAGTATCTTTTCTTGGTCAAGAGCTGTAATTTGGAATTAAGAGAGGGGAGAAGGACAAAACCCTTAAACTTCTTGGATTTCCATTAGTAAACTATAGTTTCTTAAGTGGCCACGCTATTTCTGAGCAAGGAAATGAAATCTGATTTTAAGTTATGACTAGTTTCCTCTAATAAAGAGAGCTTTTGCTTAAAAATATTATCAAACAAGACTGCTGATCTTACCAGCAATAAATAGATTGACATTTTACAATAACCGAAATATCATCGTAATTCATGCAATTATAAGTCACAATATAACACTCTAGTTGTCTATCTAAGCTTATTTTAGCTTTCTGTTATCTGGCTAAAAATTATGTGAAAATATATAATACAGAATCTAGTTCACAACAGAAAAAAGTTTATTACACATGTATTTTAGCAACTGGAATGAGAAGGAAGAATAAGTAGGTCTTGTGCTGTCTTCTGTTAAAATTTCTTGACTCTTAACTCTTGATCGGAATTATCACCTCATTTATCACTTGGTAAAGCTTGGAAATCAGTATTGACTGTGGTAATCAGGAAATAAATTAGACATGGGATTTTTCGGAAACTGCAAGCCAAGATTTTGGACCTTGTAATTTTCAAGAGATGGTAAGTGAATTTGATATTTGCAAAGCGATGAGCATCCCCTCACATCAAGTTACATTCTTCTCACACGTGAAAAAATTATAAACACAATAAAAACCTTACCCTTACCTTTGGTGGCTTGAATGGATAGTCAGATGAAAATGTGATATCCAGGAAAAAAACGCCTCCTTCGTATACGGAACCTGGAGGTCCAAGTATTGTAGATCTCCACTCATAAATGTTATCTCCTTTAGGTCCGGCACTGGGTAAAAGAAGAGGAGAGAACAGTCAGGGGTGGCTTCGAGAGAGGCATTTTATGGATTTCCTTCTACATTCATTTTGTTTAATACAAATCACTTGCCTATCTTCAATGTCTGCCTAACTTCCAGCTGATTTCAGCAGGCTCAGTGTTTTAAAAAGGCATGAAAGCTGACCCTCTGGAGACACAGCAATGAAACAGATTGACCATGAACTACTGGACTGTCACTGTCCGAAACATCCCCCCAAATCTACTTTCTCAAGTATGTGGTGGCTCTGAGCTTCTACGTTGTGCCCTTCCAGTGACATCACATCCACGCACAGAAGGAATTGTACATATCTTCAGCGCATTCACCTTTTCTCCAGGCACTAAATGGATCGTATTTTCATAAAAGACGTGACTCACATGTACACTGATGCACATTTATTGCCACTCGCAACAGAGGCTAGAGCAAAATGTTACACCCTTGGGCAGGAAAACTGAGGATGGGAGAGACAGAATCAAGTAACCTGGAACTGAGCTTCTTACAGCACTGTCAATCCAAATAACTGTTTTCTTCAGGATGTCTTTGTGTTATGCCTCCAGGCAATCAGCATTGAGATGACTAGCCAAAAATAGTTTATTTGAAGAAGTACAGTACCAAATGCATTTCTCACTAGGGGAAGGTTTATTGCATAATTAATTATTAAAGCAAAGCTTTGAAAGAAGGGATAATGAACAGACGTTTTCTCAACTTCTGAGCCATCAAGCTTAATGCTATTATGACAAAGTAACCATCTAACCTACTCACAAAAAAAAAAAAAAAATCAAAGCACAATCTTACTTCTGTAAGCAAGTCTCAGGGTAAAAACCAACCTAACCTTCCACAAAAGGTCCTGAATCTGAATTGCTGATATCCAAACTCACTGCTGGGGAAAACAACATGCTGAGCTCAGACAGGCACGGTAGATTCATCACAGCTATGCAGACAAGTCAGTAACGCAGCACTGTGAAAGATCCTTTCAATTTTCCCCACTTTGGCAGCCTCCCAGGCACCACCTAAATCTGAAAGACACACGGTGAAGTGTCCTCATCTTTCTGCATCTGTAGTCCCAAGGAACCGGCCCCGAGGACTGCCACGTTGCGATTGCACAAGAAGCAGGCGACGGGTCATGGCACCAAGCTGTAGCCCGGGAGCGCATTGCTTGACACTCAGAGGAGCCTCCCTGCAAGCCCTCCAAGTGTTGCAGCTCTTCCCATGTCACCTCACCCCATGCATTTGCCATATATATGTCTGCAGTCTGTAACATGGCACGCTGGGCATTCTTCCTTACTATGTAGCCAAACATGTGGAGACACTCATCAGAGACAAGGAATAGGAGCAGTCTGCACTATGCATCTGCAATTTCTACACCAAATTTTTAGCTGTTTTTACATTAAGATCATATCTGAGAAATTCTTGCACCAAATTTATAGATGTTTTTACATTAAGATCATGCTTGAGAAACAATCAAAAGCTGATTTAGATTATGAATTCCCTTTCAATTCATGATTTCCCAACATGTTTTTTTTATCTTGCAGATGTTTCATGAACCAAATGTTTAAACTGTTGCAGACCTTTCACTGACAGGACAAAATAATCATGGATTTTGGCTCGCATCCTATTTAATTAATGACAAAAAATTATTTGATGGAGCTGGAGCTATTTTCCTGTTGCCAGAATGAAAGCAGGCAACAACAGTGTGCTGGCCTCCAGAGTACAGCTGAGAAAGAAAAATTAGAAGTACTGTCAAAATAAAGTTTAGGTCTAAAGTCACTGATGTTACCTTTCTATTTGCAATGCATGCACCAAAGTGGAAGAAAAACAGTAGATAAATTTTAGGGGAAAAAAGGAGAAATTCAGAAGCAAGGAGATGCATTTTCCATCATGTAATGAACCGTTTGTACCCTCAGCCACTCCAGAAGATAATTCCATTCATGCTCTCTAAAAAGCAATTAGTGTAAGAACTGAAAATATTGGGGCAATAATGACAATATTTAAAACCCACGCGGGCCACTGAAATGTTTTAATTAATTCTTGACATTCATCAAGCTTATGGCTAATTAGTATTGTGCTTGGAAACCAAATTTCTATGGAGCAATTCAATTTCAGCATTAGATGTCCTAATGACTGTTTTATAGTTTAATGCAGAGGTGAGTGATCTTGCCTCATGTGTCAGGTACCTTTCTTTCAGACACCTCTAAGAGCTGGATGCAATTCAATCAGATTAATGACATAGCTGAATTAAATTAGTGACATATTTCATCCCAATGAATCAGTCACAATTAAGTGTGGCACCAGGCCGGTGCCAAACTATCTGGTAATCACTCACCGAGTCAGAGCAAGGGCATCTATAAGCTAGTAGCCAGAAGCAAAGTGCAATAACTCTCTGCCATCCTCTTCTATGCTACCACTAGCAACATAAAAAAGGATTGGGCTATAATATGAGAAGAGGAATTCCTAACCTTGTAAGAGGAAGGAAATGCTGTGTTCAAAACCTCTCCTACCGCTGAGAAAAGATTGCGGTAATGTCCAAAGTAACACAAAGCTGTAACCGTAACCACACTCAGATACAGTAGAAAATTGTTAAATCAAACATTACACTCGATTGAGGTTTGTGAAATTTCTAGTTAACAGCTGAAATGATGTCTTATTTCCAGTGGTGTAAAATATACCCCTGCTTCATTAGCAACCTGAAAATCCCCACAATTACTACATTACTGGTGTGAGGAGACACAGCATTAAAGGACAGAGACAAGACATCACACTTGGCTTCTAACACTTGTATATTTCCACTGGGAATCATCCTCAGCCAGCCATGCTCTACTTAGCCTTTTGTACACGTAGTAAGGCAATCTTTTCTGGAAGTAACCAAACCTAAACTCTCTAAGGCTCAGCAAAACATATCAGACCTACTGATGGCAGTCTCAGCCTCTGCAATGATTTCCACAAGGAGAGCACAGTGGGCTTACACGCACTTGGCTGACTGCAGAGAAGAGCACAAACTGCAGTCCTGCTTCTTGGCTGTGCCCTGAGCTGCAGCCGAGTGCTGGGACCCTGCTGCAGTCACTGCCTTCGACTCTCCATCACCCCAGGGCATCCTCTGGGTGCTGCAGAGAGCTGGAAGGAAGGAACTGCAACTCCCAGGTGCAAATCTAATTTTTCTGTTCCCACAGAGGACAAGAGAAAACTCAGGCTCAGAACTGGCAACAAGAAAGCTTTACTCTGTCAGCAACTTTCCATTTCATTGATACACCCAGAAGTACCCTCCTCCTTCTGTTGGGCACTAAAAGAGGCTGGCATGGGAGGTGCTTCTAGGGGCTGCACTCAAACTCTTCATTCTTAGAAGCTGTCTTACTGTTCAAGAGACTCTCCTATTGCAAGCACAGGCTTCAAGTGTCTCACCTTAAACCTTGTGAATTATGATAAGTAACAGCCTAGGAATCTCTCTCACTGTCTGTCACACTGGACAGAACATCCCAGGGAGAGCACTACAATGAGGAATTTCCCTGGTTTTCTTCCCTTTCCTTTTTTTGTCACCGAAAGACCCAGCTCCTCCTGACTTCCCCCATGGAATCCATACAGACACAAAATCCTCCTCTGTTCTAGCCTTTAAAATACAGTATCTTGCGTGTCCCAAGAAGAGCAACAAAGCTGGTGAAGGATCGAGAAAACAAGTCTCATAAGGAGCAGCTGAGGGAACCGGGATTATTAGGTTGGAGAAAAGGGGGCTCAAGGGAGACCTTATCACTTTCTACCTCAAACTGAAAGGAGGTTGTCGTGAGGTGGGGGTCAGTCTCTTCTCCCAAGTAACAAGCAACAAGACAAGAGAAAACGGTGTCAAGTTGCACCAGGGGAAGTTTAGACTGGGGATCAGAAAACACTTCTTCATGGAAAGGGTTGTGAAGCACTGGAACAGGCTGCCCATAGAATTGGTCGAGCCACCACCCCTGGAGGTATTTAAAAAACATGTAAATGTGGAGCTTAAGGACATGGTTTAGTGGTGGACCTGGCATTGCTACCTTAATGGTTGGACTCGATGATCTTAACTGTGTTTTCCAACCGGAACAATTCTATGATGTGATGACAACTTCAGTGTTTTGGCTAAACATCATACTCGTGTAGTTCATTGCTACCAGCCTGCTGCCCTCCTAAATTAGCTTACAGAACATAAAAAAATTCAGTAGAGGCACCACCAGTATATGTTCAATGAAAATGCTGCTTGATTAATTTTTTTAAACAGGGGCAAAGATAAAATCTCAGATAAAATAACAAATTAATTTATTTGCAATTATTAAAGGGTTTTTACTTATTAAATAAAACATAGATTGATTTTTTTTTAAAAAAATGAATTATATAAATTGACAGAATAAAGTTAACTGGCTACATCTGTTTCCTAAGTAAATATTCATTATGCCACTTCACTGAGGGATATATACATGATCCAGATAAGACAAAGGATTTATAACCATACTGTATCCAAGTTAGTCTGCTGAAGAGATTTAATTTACAAGTGTGACTTCAGATGGTGAATTTGAGAAGACATGAGGTTAAACTCTAGGGGCCATGGTCCTTTAAACCTAACTCTGCCGAACCCTGGCTCTCGGGTTTCATGAAGATGGAGAACAGTTTTTCCAGCACAATGTTAGGAACCTTCACACAGATGCAGCAGCATTCACACCAGCAAGAAGCCTGTTAGTCCTGACACAGTGGCTACAGAAATCAGAATTCCTCATTTCTTACAATCTTCTAAAACAAAATGCATTGAAACTACCTGTATGTAACAAGCCATGGGATGAAAAGCTAGGACAAGAAATTTCCTATCTGCATGGTACTAGTAGCATGCTGCTTTTTGCACTTGCTAAATGCTCTTCTCCTGCCAACAGCATCCCTCTGAAACACGGGGCTCTACACTTGGTGACAGAATGCAAGCTCATAGAACTGAGATTTTGATCATTAAGAAGAAAAAAAGAGTGAAGGAAAATGTAATTTCACTAGATTGGATGTTAACTCTGTTTTATGCTTTATTATGTGAAATAATTTGTGTCTATAATAGTATACAACTGAGGGGTGAAGGGTAGGGTAATAATCTGCTTTTTCAGGAAGCTTCCTGACAGTGAAGTCTGTCAGACTTTAAAACTCTGAGAATTATCATTGGTACCATAAAACTAAACGTACTGGTCTATACCCCAGGATGCCCCCCAGGGGTGTCTACATAGCACAGGTTTAAGTGGTGAAATATTTTCCTACTTTTTCCTTTCAAAGGCCCCACTCTCCGGTCAGATACCCCTGCAGGTATCACAAAGGCAGCAGCTAACAAAAGGAGGTACCTGGAGCAAGAGTCAGGTAAAGAAAGAGCCCATCCATCCTCCCCAAGCTTTTGTCTCAAGATGAGATTCAGCAAAAGTAAAACTCCTGAAGCTCTTTACAGACAGCTTGATCACAGCAATTCTGTCACAATGGTATTATTACAATTTTTACAGCAATGTAATTGAAGACAGTGCTTTAAGAGAGGAATAATATACTTTTTAAAATTTTTCTTAATTCAGCTGAAGGTGCTAAGGAAAGGAAGGATTCCACAACCTCATACTTGAAAAATCCGCTTCATAATGCTACATAGTGAGTTTCTGCTGTAAGAAAGGCCCCAGTGTGTTACCAGCATGAAAGGCTTTGTTTTAGACAGCAATGTCTCAGCTGAAGCTGTTGGCTGATGTTCTAGTTAAGTATCATGTCATTAGAGTCAAATGGGGCTGTGACAGATCCCACCAGCACATACAATTCAGGTGAATACACAGGTCCCATCTGTACTGAGTCTGCCTGCCTCAGCTTGATTAACTCACCTCCAGTGGAAGGAGAAGGCCCCAGGTTCAGACAACTTCAAGTTATCATAGAGGTGGGGGACTCTTACCTACCACGTAGGGTATCTAGTGGGGATGCTTATGTTTGCACCTCAGACTTCCCAGACAATCAGGCTAGAGATTGGTGATTCTGTAGCACAAGGAGCATCTAAATGATCCTTAATATGAAGGTTCTCCATCTCCCTCTGGTGACACCTACTTTTCACTGACTGTACAGGGAGCTCGGCTCCTAACTCAAACCTGTGAACTCAGTAATCAGAAAAGTACTCACCCTCCAGGCAGTGAGAAAGGGTTGTCTAGCACTGTTTTAATTTTCAGTGCCACGTTTACAGCGCTTTCTGAAGTAGTTACTATGAGTGTTCAGTGCCTAAGCACCTCTACTTGCAGAATCTGGGTAGTACATCCTCTATACACAAAAACCATACTGGCTTCACTGGCAAGAGCCTCAAATAAAACCCTAACTTCTGGCTTAGTATATTTTTCTAGGGTTTGACATGTGTGGGTTGTCTACAGCAATATATCAAATCTATGTTGAAAAAGCTTTTTGATAAAGTACTCAGTATTATTATGGTTTTCAGGTTATGTGCAATTTCCTACACAGAAAAAAGTTTCAGTCTATTGTGTTCTTTATATAGCTACAACTGTTCTTATTTTACCTGCCACTGAACTATCTGCTATATCTGTTTGCTGAAAAATGTTATTTACTGCTTCTAGCAGATCCACAGAGGCTCTGTGTAACCGAGGATACATGGAATCTATTTTACTGTACAAACCTTTGCTTCTGTCACTTCCTTAAAATCTATCACGTCCTTAAAACTAAAATCTAGAAATTACTGCTTGCAACAACAACCAAAAAAACCCACAGAAAAAAGCATCTATTTTTAACTCATGGATCCCCTGCTAATTCAGCCGGTTGTAAAGCAGTGCAGGACTTGTGCCTGAGGCCATGATTCGATGCTACAGTAAATCCAACTTGAGAGCTCCTCCTACCAGATCAAAAGCAGCGTGGCTACTCAAAGCAAAGTGCTGAGCCAACATAAACTAACTTGGCCAAGCCGTTCACGTTCCAAAAACGTCAATGGCTTAGCTTTGTAACACCGGGCTTTATGCTTAATCAGGTATTGTTTGTCCTCCTGTAGCCAGCACAGAAAGGGCATAAACTCTAGATTGCACAGTCCGGCTTAGAAATGTAATCATGGAGCCGTATTTGGTTCACGTCAAATTGTACCATTAGGGGAATCTAACCAAGCGCAGATCTGCTATTAATCACCCTAAAGAGAAACATGCCAGATTGTAGTGTTTTAGATTATTAAAAGCTCCACAGCTAAACTTGCCATTAGTAGAATATGCACTGTTGTTACTAAAGAAAGCTGAGTAACAAATCATTTGATAATTCCATCAAAGCTGTAATATGTAGAGAGCCCAAGTAATGTATGTTGGAAAGCTGATAGTTTTTCCACTGCCAAAAGCCTCATTAAATTAGTTTATTCCCACAACAGCTCAACTTTATTTTCCTCTTTGTATTCCTGCTAGTCCCTAGGACCTTTCTTCCTGCTGTTAGAAGTCTGCTCAGGTTCTCTCCATCTTCCAGAACAACCGTAGCCAATTATGGAGGCAGAATTCCTGCAATCTTTCTTCTGAAAAATAACTAACCCTAGAACACAGTTCACTAAATTACAACAGAAATACTGAATTTAAACCACATAACAAACCACATCAGATTGTTTCATTCTACACTCTTGACAGGGGAGTTGCAAATATATACTATCCAGGCAATAGATTATAATTTTACCAAACATGAGTTGTTTTTGAAAACAGAGAAATCACAGGACTCACAAGCATGATAGGACAAGAGGAAATGGCCTCAAGTTGCACTAAGGGAGGTTTCGATTGGACATTAGGAAGAATTTCTTTGCTGAAAGGGTTATCAGGCTTTGGAAGGGGTTGCCCAGGGCAGTGGTGGAGTCTCCATCCCTGGAGGTATTTAAGAGTCATGTAGACATGGTGCTTAGGGATATGGTTTAGTCAAGGACTTGTCAGACTAATGACTGGACTCAATGATCTTAAAGGTCTTTCAGAATTCAGGCGATTCTGTGAAAGCTCACACTGAATATTTGGTTTATTTTAAATATGTTGAAATCTGCACAGAAGTCCCTCTTACATATCTATACTAGAGAAATTATCCATACTCCCTACTAAAACACAGAGCAGGACAGTCAGTAAAGGGAAACATTTCCTGCCTTTTTGCCATGTGTTCCTAATAACAAAGCCATAATTTAGTATAAAATAAAAGACCAGCTCCCTGTCATCAGTGTCGAAACACTAGTAGTACTAGTGGGAAAATATGTGCTATCTTCCTGCTGTTGGTATAAAGCTCAATTTGTACTAAGGCCAAATCATTTTGTCAAAGCAATTTGTCAGTCAGGTATGTACAGTTCGTATTATCTTCCCATTCAAAATTACTAATGAAGCCACATTTAGCAAACAGAAAATTTTGCATTTCTTCCATGAAAGAGGATCCTTCTCAGGATCCTAACACAAACAAAACTCATTTGGGATGCAAAAGAATTTTATTCTTCAATGTGTTATAGCCTCCATACTGGTGCTAGCAATCCATACTGAAAGGATCGCACATTAATTGAGAAATCGTGGAGCCTTAGTTTAAGGCATCTGTCCACAAATACACACAATGGAGGCACTCAGACACAAGATTGTTTGCCTAAAGTAATCCAGAAAACATGTGCTGTAGAGTATGACTGCATGGAAAATCTCCAAATCCCAGGCCATCGCCTTACCCACTGGACTGAGATTACACTATCAGTAGGTCATTCAACAGTTTCAGCGTTCAGTGTGAAATCTTGATGTCAAAAAGCCAAGTGACGCTGAGAAATATAGTTTAGGATTTCCTACCAATATTTTCAATGGCACTTTTAATGTCAACAAA